TACGGATTGAAGTTTAAGTATTCGTAGTTTAGATTAATAAATATATACAGTAATATATGTGTGTGACAGGAGCGGACTTCCATGTCCGAATATGGTGAAAAATGGTTTCCTTTTTTTCTTCTCGTAATTTTCTTTTCGTTTTTTTTCTCTTTTCTTTTTTTGAAGGAATGTAAAAAGTATTGCCAATATGAAGCCAGAGTCCCAAAAAAAGTTGAGATTAAACGAATTTTCACAGAGAGACTCAAAAGATTCAAACAGACCAATTAATCACCTAAGTTCCAAAAAACAAAGAGTATATATGAATGATCTTTCTGATGAAATAAAGATCAAAATTTTTAAGTTTATTCAATACCCTTTAAGTTTACTTTTAACCTCTAAGATCTGGTATAATATTTCCATGGATTGTCAAGCAAGAGGTGAATGGGTTATATACAATTATGGCAAAGCGCATGCACTCTTCCATGCGATCCGACTCGGACCAAACTTTATTAATGTAGGTGTTGTTCAAATAATAATTGCTAAAGATGGCATTATTTCTCGGTATTTCATCCAGAGGTTGCTTATGCATTTCGGATCCTATGATCAAAATTTGCTTGATATAAAACGCGATTATAATAAAGGACTTGGTAATACTGATCAAACACAGCAGACAACTAAAGCACCATGGGCTAGTGATACACCCATTTCTGTCTTTACCTTTCTTTTAAATGAAGCTTCAAGAAAGTTAAAAACCCTAGATCTCGTGGCTAAAGGAAATGATATGGAATTGTTCCATTTTTTGAGCGCTGGCCCTCATATCATTTCTCAAGCAAAACAAAAATTAAAAAATAATTTTGAATCAATCAAAGAATTAATTGTACGATGGAAATTTATCCCCTTCCCTCCAAGGCCTAAATCAAAACAAGTTGAAAACCTACAAAATAATGTCACTGAAGAGTATCCTCCCAAAGACGGTTGTGAGAATAATAGACAGCTTAATGTAATCGCTCGAGCAATATTAATTTGTAAAGATTTGGTGAACTTGTGGAAGGATATAGGATACTACGAGATTGTTTACGACGTAAATGACTTAGTCATGCAGGGCGCTGTCTTAATTCTTTTTCCGCCTACTCCTTCGCACGATTGGGTTAGACCAGATACAAAAAGTGTGATCCAAAGACTTACTGAACTAATTGAACTCGGATTTGATTTGTCTCATTTGGTAATTCTGGATATACTACAGCTCTTCGAACACAGATTGAGTGATATTGGTAAAACTATAATGGATTCATTTATTAAAATTAGATGTAGAACAGATGAATCCAAACATAAATTTTATATAGATATTTTAACCGGTGCTATTAATCCAGAACGTAATATGAAAACAAATAATTTATGGGATTTCTTGCGTTTGTACATTGGTGACAAAAATGATCATTATTACTTCCTTGAAGCAATGGGGAATTACTACAAAAACGGTAATGTTATTATTGAGGAAAAGGTTAATATTACAAATGCGGTGAGGAAACTTTCATTATCTCCAAAATATTATAATTGGGTACTGTTAAATTTTAAACCTTACCTAAAACTAGTATCTGAGTCCTTTAAAGATATTTTAGCAACCCGTGTTAGCATAGATATAAACCTTCAGGAAAATAATGTCACCAATGAAACAACTTCAATGATATGTGATCTATTCAAGGTATATTGTCAGACCTATTGCCATACTGAGGGATTTTTTTCACCATCGCAATTAAGAATTATTTGTAAAGCTACAAGTGAAGATATACTTGATCCGTTATTCAAATGTTATTTATATATGGTGTTTGAAATTAAGCCAACAACGACATTGTTTGATATTCCACCAAATATATCTGATAATATGAATCAGGATGACGTTTTCAAGATGGAAAACGCAACTTTTATGCATAATCCAGCGCCAGTAGTAAAAGATTTTTCTAATAATGAACTAGAAGAGCAATTACATGTTCATTCCGATTTCCAAGAACCAAAAGAAACAACATCTCTACAAGAAACTGCGGCAATAACTGAGTATATTCCTAAAATGACAAATAGTTCTAAGAAGAAGTTACAAAAGCAGTGGTATAAGGAACTAAAAAAATATAATGACAGAATCGTTAATATACGAAGTAAGTTCGATCTTTATGTAAAAGAATTTTGGCAAATTATTGTCGAAACGGAAATTGGTAGAGAATTGAGAGAGAAAGAGAAAGACATAGAAAAGTCCTCTAATCCTCGGGTAAAAAAGTATCGGAAATTAAACCAATGTAATTTAGGAAAGCATAAGCTCCAGCTAAAGATGCTACCTAAATTAGAAAAAAATCGAAAGAGGATTGAGTTAGTTAGAAAAAGAAACTTGAAACGGTTAATAAGACAAAATACTTCAAACTGAAACGACGACCTATTTATGATTCCACAATTTTAAATTCCTATTATTACGAATTATCCGCAACACTTGTATTAACAACAATATGTCCTGAGGCAATATTTTGTTGAAGTTGGTCCTATATATACACACGTGTTTTGAATTTATAGAGTTTTTAAATTAACATTATTCATTTATTTTTATTTTTTTTTTTATCCTCCGAGGTTTTTTTTTTAATCTTGTTCGTTAAGATTATATTCTATACTTTTTTTTCGTTTTTTTCTTCTAATAAATTTTAGCTTTTTTTTTTAAATGCACATAAAGATAACAACCTGTACGAAAAGAACAGCAATAATGGCGTTTTAATGCTGGTTTGCATAAGATATGATTCGGTACACAAAACTTTTATTCTTTAACGGGTTCTTTCATACGTATCGTATGTATATAACAATTTTATTAACTTTTAAGTGTTTTAATCTTTATTACATCTATTATCATATTAATATACATTTTCAATAATACAGCTGAACATCTCAGTATAAAATACGGCAAAACAAAAGAAGTTTTAATTTTTTTAAAGAGGTATTTGCTTTTGCTGGGAAAGTTAATAAGCTTTTCTTAGAGGTTTTTTGCCTTTTGTAGATATAATAGATATATATATATATTTTTTTTGTGTATACGTATAGGTATCGGTATCAATATAGTACACACATTACGTAGTTGTCTTCACGAACCCTTTTCAAATGTGTGATTGTGTACGGTATGTAACATTTCTGTATTTTATATATTTATATGTACTTGAATTATATACAATAGATTGTGGTAACAACGAAAATAAACGAATGAAATTTGTGAAAAATCAGGCTTTCCTTTACCGAAACTAAATTTGCCAATTATGTTCAAAAGGCAAATTTCAAGGTGATAATCGTTATAGGATTTTAGTTATATTCTAAAAATCTATTCGGACCACCCCGATTATAGTGTATACATAAACAGTACTACAATTTATTATATTTAGAAAAAAAATTTTTTTTTCTATTACTATAGATATATCCACTTGTGTAGCAAGGGTTGTTAATCTATTGGGTACGTATGTACGATTTCATTTTTTTACGCAGTTTTTTTTTTTTTGCAACAAAAAGAAATAAAATCTTGGATCAGTTTCTTTTTTTGCTCTTTTCGTAAATGCTTATAGTTTCAGATTTCTAGAACACTTCACTAATAACAAGCATATTCTTTTAATGCATTATGTTTTATTAATTATATATTTCGAGTATACGTAGTATAAAAAAAGCTAGACAATAATAATTAGTGGAATGTTTAACAAGAATTTCAGGGATACTGTATTGGTATGTTACCACTGTTTTGCAGAATCATGCATACAGTCTACGTCCGCTTACAATTGAAAATACGAGTTTATTCACATGCGTTTGCATTAATCAACAGTGTATCCGAATATTGGATGGAAAAGATTTGTAGCGAAAAATAATAGTTTTGTTAAACCAATATGGAAGGTTACTGTATACGATTCAAGGCGAATTAGAGATATTCAATTTTGTGATCTATAATGAATGATCGAGAATGTGAATCACGGGAATGCGCGTAGGAATTACTCACATTATTCGTGGGAAATTGCAATTCCTGGAATGATCTCCTTCGGAATACCACGCAAAATTTGAATGCGCATTTTATTCTTAGATGCGATATATATATTTATATATATATTTATTTATATGCGCATATAATTGTCTTTAATATCGGTTATATATTACCTTTGCATTGGGTTAATATATAATGATAAAATAAACTAGGTTTAGTTTCGGAGTTAGTCCAGATTGATTTAATTGGTTTGGTTAATAAAATTTTATCGAAGCTTAAATTTGGACATTCCATCTTCAATCTTCCCAAAACATCGTAATTTTCGGTAACTTTGAATGTCTTTTTTATTTCGGCAACAACAAAATATATTCTTGCTATTTCTTTGCGCTTTCTTCCTCATAATCCATGTACAAAATAATATTACTAACAATTTGTTGTGTTTAAATACTTGGTATATCGTTAATATACAGTAGAAAAGAGAATCCGATGAAAGTTGTTGATAGCTGGAAAAGGATTACAACCTTGAAATATTATTAAAAATCTCCTCGATTGATACGTATAAAGTACAATTATTGATGTACAATAAATAAAAACCAACACGGCATTTTTTTGGTTTGTTGTGCAAGTATTGCATCATTCCTATCAACACCGTCGCTGTCAATATCATCTGAATATGTTTTGTCGAACAACATCTGTCCGTTCTATAATATGTTGTTTTGTTTCATCATTAAGACATTCCAAACTAGCCGATTATTTTGGGATATTATAGCACTATATCTTTTTAATCATTTCTTCCATATAATATTTTTTTCACTTATAATTATTGAACATTAACTTTGTTTCTGGCGACTGTTTCACCCATTACCGATAGCTGAACAACAATGACATTCTTGACCTCAGAACATCATATAGTTCTATCAAAATTGGATATCATAATTTCTAATATTAATACATAAATGCTTACGATTGAAATACTTTTTATTAAAAAAAAATAACAATATGAACATGTAAAATCTTAATAGATCTGCTGTGTAGACATAAGGTTGGAGATAGTTGTCAAAATCATACACAGAGAGGAATAGTACAAAACCTTATTATGAATTCTTTAACTGTATTTAAATATATATATGTCAGAAAAATAAATTGACAAAAATTTACATAAACCATATAAAAAAAAATCAAGGTTGACCATTTGCAGAAGATTGGTCATTAAGAAAAAATTCTTCAAAAAATTCTTTATTTGAAATAGAAAGGGCAACCTCTTGGATTTTCATTTGATCCTCTTTGATTTTTATTTGATCTTTTAATGCGGCAACTTCAGAACGAAGATTATCATTTTGTTGAGTAAGAGAAGAAAGCTGAGAATGGAGGCTATTATTTTCCTGAATGGCGGAATGATGCTGCAATGTCAAGCAAGAAATTTGATATTCCAAAAAGGCAACCCGAAGAGGGTTCTGTTGTTCTTTGGGTTCAGAAAGCCCAATACGAAAATTGTGAATGCCAGGTGCGGATGGATTATTAAAGGAAATGTCATCAGAAGATCTAGAAATCCTTGACGGTCGTTGAGTCATGTTATAATATATAAATAGAAACTAAATTTAGCCAATTGGATTTTACTCTGCAGTTGAGCACGGGATATAGGCCCTAGCCGCCTCCGAAATTTTCTTCTAAATTTGGCTTAATTTAACTAGGTACGTAAAATGTTGGAAAAACCGGTCAATTTATAAGAAAACAAGAAAAAATAGCCAAAAAACTGCGTGTAGCATATTGTCCAAGCACGGAAGGAAAAAGTTATATAAAAACATTAAAAAAGTTAAATAAAAAACGCGAAATTAACTTGATCGTGTTCTTTATTTCGGAGCAAGTGTGGGGCAAGATAACTGCACAAGGGCGCACAAAAACTGCTAATTAGAAATTTGAATACCGAAGAAGGAAAGATGATGACCAATGTAACGGTAAAATAAACTGTTAAGGAATCTGATCGACGCAACTGCCTACTCATTTTCGCGGGTAATACAAACTTCTAGAAAGGAATCAGTGACAAATTTTGGCTATTCCGACAAAGAATAATAAACATACGAATGCGAAAATCCTTGAAACTAATGTTTGAATCGACCTTGGTGCACTAGTTAAAGTGACAGGAATGAATTTTGCATATAACAAACGATAATTTATCGCTCTCCTAATGTTCTAACCCTAAACTATCTTACGCATTTAGTTTTTTTTTTGGTTTGTGTTACTCGCAAAAATAAATAAATTTTCTGTCCTCCGCACCGTATGACGGTTGTATTACGATTTACAGTAATTTTGGTGACCGTAAAGTTTCACACTTCCGCATGACTTCGTATTCGATCTCACATAATTTGGCTATTTTGGGTCATATTTCATTAAATAAAGACAACCAATCGATTTTTCTACCTAAGATTGCACTTTCAATGAGGGTCAATTTAGATAAATTTAAATAGCCAGCTGGATTGGTCTATAAAAACGTGGGTTGAGCCCTTCTGCCCGGCCGATAGATCGAGGTCAAGCAGCATCACTAATCATGGCTAAGTCGTTCTTTCAGTGAGATGAATCGTAATATATAAAATTACTCGAATCCAGTCACTGGGTCTCGAGATATTCCAGCTCGTCAAATTACTTCTGCTCACCTTATATTTCAACGTGTTATAATGTTTGTTTTAACCTGCCATAATACAGTCAGACCTCCCTAAATGCATATTCTCTAAATGCATAGTCTTTCTAAATGCATGGCCTTGTTTGGCCCCAACTCATATGACTCATAGATTTTTACCTCTCTAAATACAAGATTTTTTTGGCCGCCCGAGGCTATGCATTTAGAGAGGTCTGACTGTAATTTAAAGTCACTAAATATAATAATGTCGATTGTCTCGTACAATAGAAGTACTTTTATAATTCAAGAAAAATGAAATAATTATATGGGCCTTAGACCACTTAAGGGCAGGACGGGTATTATGGGCGGGAGGTATTGTGGCGCACTCATGTTTTTTGGAAATATCTTGCGATCCACTGATTAGAATTGAACAATTTTGGTACCATTCGATTCGTCTTATCGAGACGAATCTAATGATACAAAAATCGCTTTATTTGGATGACCAGACCTTGAAATAGATATAAAATTTTAAGAGAAATCCGTAAATTTTGTTAATGTTACTCAAACTAACCCTAAAAATCCGGGTGCATATGATTACATGGCGGATGTGAAATTCGAACCTAAAAACAAAAATCCAAAAAGTGACCGTTGACTTGGTAAAGCTAAGCCTAAAAAACAGTTGTCGGTCAGATTTTTAAATAAGGCTGCTCTCAAGCATCTAAATCAATTGATCAGATAATAATCATGATGCTCAAGCATCGCAATTTTGTATTCATTATGCTCATATTAATGTATCGATTATTTGTTTTAAAAGCTTCGAACATTAAAAATAAAGCAGTTATCTTTTTAGACCGGGTAGAAATTTGTTGAGAATTAATTGTTTATTATGTTTGACATGTAAAGAATGTAAAAGTAATGCTTGAGCGACCTTTATCAATGGCACAATTTTGAATAAAAAGGTGTTTACAGTGTTGGCCGATGACCTTAAATGATCTATATAACTTTTATGACTTGTAATAGGTCATTTGGTCATAACGAAGGTTGATATGACTTTATTATGACCTTTTAATATAGTAAGGATCATAGTAAAAAAAAATTTTTTACTAATATTTGATATGAGCAATATGACTTATGACCCAAAAGTCATATGATTATATAATCGAAAGCCCATTATGACTTATGCCATTGGCCAACACTAGTTTTTTATACAATTCTTATGTATTACATCACTATTTTGTAAATTATCAATAATAATAAAAAGAAAAAAAAGAAAAACAAATTGATCAAAACCAAAAATCAAATTGAGTGATCTAATCGCAAAGACGATCTTGTATCAAAATGACGAAAGTCTTTTATACATAACTCAAATTGATCTTTCTCAGGAAAAGACTCATAACAAGCATTATAAAATCTTTTGAAGCTTGAGATGTACTTTTCTTTTATATGGAACATATCAATAAAATCACATATTTTTAAGCCTTTAAGAGTATAACAATATCTGCATTCTTCATCGAAAGAGCCATCGTCATTGGCAGCCTTGCAAACCTTTTTGAATATAGAAATCATATACTTCATTCTTAGAAGTAATTTATAATCATAAATTAAGT